GGGGGCACCCTTGAGGTGAGGGGCTGTCCTGCCGGCGGAGCCACGGGCAGAACTGCAGACACACGGGGGCTCGGGGGCTCGAGCCAGGACAGCAGAACTGCCGGCGGGTCCATTCTTGAGCGGCGACTCAGCGCGTTCCCAGCGGGTGCAGGCCGAGCCTCGCGCCCGGCCCCCCGCCCCCCTCCCCGCCGGTGCTCCCAGGCCCCTGACTTGGGCCTTGGAGTTTCCCACTGTCACTGACTGACGGGAGGGGCTCTGGCTCTGTCTCCCTGTGACCTTCAGCCCGCTGAGGGTGCAAGCGGCGTTTCTGTGGTCAGCGGTGCCCACGGTGTCTGGGGCGGTGTCCAGGCTGTAGGCGGGTGTCGGGGCTGGGCCTGGCCCCCAGGGCCGGGGACCTCACATTCCTCGCGGTGCCCGGGCCGCAGCTGACGGGCTTGGGGCCTCCCCTCCGGCCAGGACTCTGAGGACCAGCGGCACCTGCTGTGCGTGCTGGCGGGGTGCCCAGCAGTGGGGGCGGGGCCTCCCCCAGTGAGCGGGCTCAGCCCCCGCCTGCCTCACCCGACCCCGCCTCCCCACAGGCCTCCGGTGTTCCAGCAGCCCGTCATCTTCCTGGGGGCCGACGTCACGCACCCGCCCGCGGGGGACGGGAAGAAGCCCTCCATCGCCGCTGTGAGTGTCCCCAGAGCTGGCCCCTGGCGACGCGGGTCCCGGAGGGAGGAGCCCAGCACGGCCACCCGGCCGCTCCTGGAGGTGGCGGGTCCGGGCTGGGGCCCCGGCAGGACCGCCAGAGGGACGTCTGCGGTCGCCTCAGTGGGGCCGGACCCTGCGCCCTCGCCAGGGCTCTCGGCCCCCGCTGACCACTCCTGCCCCACAGGTCGTGGGCAGCATGGACGCCCACCCCAACCGCTACTGTGCCACGGTGCGGGTGCAGCAGCACCGGCAGGAGATCATCCAGGACCTGGCGGCCATGGTGCGGGAGCTGCTCATCCAGTTCTACAAGTCCACGCGCTTCAAGCCCACCCGCATCATCTTCTACCGCGACGGCGTGTCCGAGGGGCAGTTCCAGCAGGTCAGCTCTGCGCCCCGCCCCCGGCGTCTCCGGCTCCCGGTCTCTGGGGCAGAGGAGGAGTGCCGAGCCACGGCGGGCGGGTCCCGGGGAGGACGCAGGCGTGGGACAGCGCGAGGCAGGTCCGGGACACGGCGGGCGCAGGCCGGACCGCGCGCCGAGCACCGTGGGGGGCTGGGGGCTGCTTCTGGAATCCTCTCTGGGGCATCTCTGCGCCGGGCCGGGACCTGCGGAGGCCGGAGCTGCTGGACGTGAAGGCGGGGTTGGAGGTTGTGCAGGTGCCTGGGAGGCCGAGGGCCGCGGCGGACACGGTACCGGGCAGAGAAGGTCCTGCGTGGCTGAACGTGCCCCAGGCCGAGGCCGCCGTGAGGGGCCGTGGTGTGCCCAGCCGGGAGCCAGGCAGGTGCCCGAGGGGGTCTCCGTACGGCCGGGCCGGGCACAGCA